ATGGTTTATAAAGAGCTCTGATTTATAACGGGCTTTGGTTTATAAAGGGCTCTGGTTTATAACGGGCTTTGGTTTATAAAGGGCTCTGGTTTATAAAGGGCTTTGGTTTATAAAGGGCTCTGGTTTATAAACGGCTCTGGTTTATAATGAGCTCTGGTTTATGAAGGGCTTTGGTTTATAAAGAGCTCTGGTTTATGAAGGGCTTTGGTTTATAAAGGGCTCTGGTTTATAAACGGCTCTGGTTTATAATGAGCTCTGGTTTATGAAGGGCTTTGGTTTATAAAGGGCTCTGGTTTATAAAGGGCTTTGGTTTACAAAGGGCTCTGGTTTATAACGAGCTCTGGTTTATAAAGGTTTCTGGTTTATAAAGGGATCTGGTTTATAACAAGCTCTGGGTTATAACGGTTATAACGGGCTTTTGTTTATAAAGAGCGCTGGTTTATAAAGGGCTTTGGTTTATAAAGAGCGCTGGTTTATAAAGGGCTGTGGTTTATAAAGGGCTCTGGTTTATAAAGGCTTTTGGTTTATAAAGGGCTCTGGTTTATAAACAGCTCTGATTTATAAAGAGCTCTGGTTTATGAAGGGCTTTGGTTTATAAAGAACTCTGGTTTATAAAGGGCTCTGGTTTATAAAAGGCTTTGGTTTATAAAGAGCTCTGGTTTGTAAAGGGCTCTGGTTTATAACGAGCTCTGGTTTATTACGAGCTCTGATTTATAAAGGGCTCTGGTTTATAAAAAGCTCTTTTTTATAACCAGCTCTGGTTTTCAACGAGCTCTGGTTTATAAAGTCAACAGGCAAACAGACCGATATACATTTTTTCTGTACTATTTGAATCAATCGTTTTAAAACCTGAAACCAAACGATGAAAATAGGAGAAGCAGCTGTTGTTCCCAACGAGCTTCCTTACATAGAGGAGAAACTGAGCCCAGTCCTTACCAGCGCACATTAAATATAATAATAATAATAATGGAATAGATTGATCATAATTTTTATTTAGTTTGGGCGCTTAAAGCGTGTCATCCTGCAGGATGTTCCAGCTGCTTTGCTTCATTAAACAGAATTGAACTGCTCTGGCCTTTGATCTAATGCCAGTTTTATATTTCCCTATTCAATCAGTTTTACCATAAAGATGAATATATTTAAGAGCTAATTTGGATGAAAATGTTTAATAGAACTGCAGCGTCCTTTAAGAAAAGTTCATCAATGTTCTTATTCAGCGGATCAAAGAGCTCCAGGTGGATAAATCAATAATCCCACAGGAAGGAGACTGTGTGGCCCAGATTATTTAGCAGTCTAGGCTTCCAGAACAATGAAGCTCACATCTTTCTAACAGCCCTGTTGTCCAACAAGCACCTGTAGGTGCACCTGTTCACCGCGCAGCGCCATCCTCCATGGGACTTTCATCAATTAATCCAT